TCTATATCCTTTTAAATTCTGTAAAATCTGTGGTAATGTCTCCTAGATCTTAATATTGTAATTTTAAAAATGTATAATTGATATTGGGTAATAGGAAAAAGAGGTCTAAAGTAGCAGGGGAAGTGGGAGGGGTAGGGGAAAGGAAAGAAGGGAAAAGAAAAAATATGAGAAAAGGAAAAAAATAGAAACAAAGTCTTTGCAAATAGTGGAGGGTGGAGGGGTTGAATGAAGGGAGAGCAGGGGAAGGGGAAAAAAATAAGAACTAAGATACTCATGTCATGGTACAAGATCCCAATGATGAATGTAACTGTATTTTACACCTAAAATGTACCAATAAACTTAATGGGGAAAAAAAACCCAGAACATAATAAAGAATGATATTAAATCAGATAGTGCTAATTAATTTACATAGAAAGATTCCCCCCAAAAAAAGGAATGATTTTCCCAGTTTACCAAAAAAGTGTGTGACAAAAAGAACTATAAAAATATACATATCTGTGACCTGCTTAATAGAGGTATAGCCACACACAGATAGACATATATTGCAGGATTTGTACACCAATCTGGAGGTGGAACTGGGGTTGGAGGAAATATTTATACTTTTTGCTTTGTTCAGTGTCTTCAGAATGCTATTCAACAAATAACTCCTATGCACATACCATGTGCCAGTTAGTCAGATGCTTGGGCCACAGCTAGGAGAAAGGCAGACAGGTCCCTGCTCCTGGGAGCTGACACTGAAATACACTCTCTTTATCAACAGTAACACCAAGAAAGTTAAACTTGACTTCCTAGTTACCTGATCTTCAGAGTTTGAAAAATCAAGATCACCACTTGACCAGCAAAGGAAGAATGGCCCCTCCTAAGTCTTCAGGTCTCAGGCCAGCCTCTCCAGCAAAAAGTGTTCCATCCACCCTCACTTCTAAATCACAGTGAGATAGATGCCCTGCAGGGCAGGCAGTGTGTCCTATTCACAGTGATAATTCTTAAATGTACTACTCTGTACCTGAATGATGTATGACTGAACAAACAAAGAAGTGACCTGAGCCAATGGCTCTAAAATTCACTGTGGGGTATGTCTATGATGCTTCTACCATATGTGACATACCAGGACATGTACAAGAGGCTATGGTTCTCTCAATTCCTAGATTCTCCCATGAGCACTTTATCCTCACTCATCACACATCCGAGGACAGGCTACATGCTCATTCCCATGTCCCTCCTGCTCTGGGTAAGGTGACAGGGCCTGGTCCAGCCTCACACTTTTCTCAGCCTAGTGTTGACAAGGGTACAGCCCAGTGGCAGAGCAGTGAGAGGAGCCTGTGCAGCACCAGGGAGAACCCTCAGAACTGCACCAAGGCCCTACCGCAGGATGCAGAAGCCCATAATGCATAAGTCATGTGTCAAGAACATAGAACAGGGCCAAGATGGTGCCCTTGCTGGAACTGTCCAAGGCAGTTCTACTCTCAGACTCCATGCTCAGACTCAGTCTGCCCTGCCCTGCCTCACAGGAGCTCTTCATCACTTCCTGCCTCTACTTTGTCACCAAGAGACCAGAGATCACCCAGTCCTGCCTCACAGGCACTGATGCAAGAATCTGCAAAGAGTGAAGACCACACCTACAGCATCCTCCTACAAAGGCTAGGCAGGAACAAATGAGGCTGCAGAAAGGTTTTCCCACCCCCACGAAAGACTGGTTCCTCATTATCTACAGGAAAAGGTTGCATCTGTCACCAGCTAAACACCTAGATACCAGGACAAAAGGCCTTGTCTCCCTAAACCAATCCCCATACCCAGAGAGCAGACAATCGAAAACTCTCTGTGCGAGAAGCCAGGCTTCCTCTTGGCCACATGTGCTGCTGGCCACACAGAGTCCCTGCATACCTAAATCGTGACCAGCACTCCAAGAGGGCTCCAAGAGTACTCTGCTGGGACTTCTGCTTCCTCCTGCATGTAGACAATCCTAGACAGGTGATTGACTCTTCATTGCCCTTGGAACTGGTTCACAACCCACAAAGCACTCCCACCTCCTATTATGGCCATTTCCCACACCACCCTGAGACTCTTTCCAGACCTATTTGCTTCCTGGTCTGAACAAAGGACTTAAACTGCCCCCTTTCAGAGACTGTAAGTAGAGGAGAAAAATATGCCCACTGCCCACATATGATATGTGTTCACAAACACATATGATATATCACAGGAACCCACATCATCCATCTCACTGCTCTCCATAGGAATTAGAAGCCAGCAGCCCAAAAAGTAAAATCTATGAACCACAGGGCCCAGGCCCTAACTACCAAGTCAGCAGGAAAATCCTCCTATAGAGCCCTCCTATGTACACCCAATACCTTCCTTTGACAGAAGACCCTCCCCTGCCCCTCACTGAGATCCTCCTCTAACAGAGATTATCTGGGCCCTTACAACCTGAGACCCTACTCTGATAGAGGACTCTCCCTTGTCCCCTCACTATCTGCGTTCTCCTCAAACTGGCAACTTCTTTGTCCCCATACCAAAGTGCTCTCCTTCCAGAGTCTTCTCCAGCTAAGCCTCAACTACTCCCCAAGGTGTTCTCCAACCCAGAACCAAGTGCAATGCTTGGGAGAAAGGAGATTTACAAATGTTGGATGGTGAGCAAAGGACTCTACTTCCAAACACCCAAGCAGACACTTGTGGCAGACAACAGGGAAGGAGGGTTATACAAGCATCACATGGGACATGAGGGCTCAGCCCAGGCAGACACACACACACCATCCCCAGAATGCCCAGCATGGACCACTGCCCCCAATACACCCTCAGATCTGCACCCCTGCCTGTACTTCAACAACCTGTGGGCTCCACAGGCCCTGGATGTCCATTTTCACCCTGTTTCCCACAGGTACCCTAGGTTTATACTCCACCCATGCTCCCACCCACCTCCACCAAATACCAAAAAAAGCTAGGGAATATGAATGCCAACAGGCCTGGCTTGACCCTGCCATGGACCACCAACACCAAGTACCTGCATCAGTCCACACTGGCCCTCCCTTCTGTACTGCAGACACCCAGTTATCCCCAGGCCCTCCTTGGCCTCTCTGCCCTTCACACCCTGCAGATATCAACCACATGTCTCCTCCTCAGAGCAGGAGCAACCACTCAGGAGCAACCATGGGACTACATGGCTCCTCGTCATGTTAATTTTCCATCTCTCCCACACATACATTGGAATATATGCTGTGGGAAACAGAAACTTTTGTTTGTCTCTTAAGAGCCACATCTCTATGTTTGAGACAGAATACGCCACAGCACAGGCACCACATATATGTTTGCTTGATGGTCAACTGAAAGAATTGGCACCTCAACCTAACAGCATCATCCTAAAAGCCACCCAAGCTCCCAGTGACAACTTCATGTGTCAGTGCTACCTTCTGGGTGCCCATCCAGGCCTCACGTTGCACCAATGGGACCCTGTTGCAAAACAATAGCCTCTACCTACGATGGTACAGAGACCCAAGAAGCATGAGCTCAGAGGGAGCCAGAACATGAAAACTGACCTCTGTGGAGGACCAGGAACTTGCTTGTCAAGGGATGATGACACAAACTACTTCTAAAACACAGACATGAAGCCCATCTCAGTCAGTAATAGCCACACTTGCTTTCCACACAGTGTCAGCTAGTCCAGCTCTCCACACAGACAAGATCTGACCTTCATGTGGAAATACCACAATACAAATACTTACCACACAAGTAGCTACACCGAAAAGGCATACTCTCAGTAGTTCTTACCTGGTAAAATTCCCGAAGCCAGTTCTTCTGCAGGTTTTCTGGCTGTAAAATACAAAGAAGAAGAAGAAAAAAAAGATGGTCAAATTACAGACATTGCCCCCAAACAGCAGTGAGAAACTTCATTAAGGAAACCCATGGAGCAGCCTCATAGTCAGGACCTGAGCACATGCACCAGGGACCCCTATCCACATGGAGAGATCAAGCTTTTAATAGGGAACCACACTCAAAGAGATATCCCTGTGACTCAAAGTGAAGCACTACTCACCTGGCCAAGGGCGGACACACAGTGCCATGCTCCCACATGAACCTCAGCCCTGCTGACTCCCACCACCCAAGTCATGGGGAAGGGGATGGAAGCAGCACTGCATGTCTGCTTCAAACCTCTAGACACCTCCCAGGTAAGAGACAGCACAGAAAGTAACCAGCCTCTAACAGGCAACAAGTGAGATGCTGGCACATTTCCAGTATGCGTTCTGCCTAGCCAAAGCTGTGTCACAAGAAACTGTGCTCAGGAGTACTTTGTGAACCGTAAGTTGTCAATCACACCACAGTGGTGTTTCTGCCTATTTGGTATTTGAGGCAGGGAAGAGGGTGGTAGGGAACAGCTTTCAGAGAACCAGCTGCAATGGTTAGAACCGCTGGGAAGCACTTGATAGGGACACTGACAGAAACGCCCATCACACACACACGCGCGCGCACACACACACACACACACACACACACACAGGTCCAAGAGGTCAGGATCAGAATGGGCCAGGGATTTAGCTCAGTGGTTCCACTGCCTGCCCTGCAAGCGCAAGGACTCGAGTTTGATCCCCGGTACAAAAAAGAAAGAAAGAAAGGATCAGAGTCAAGGCCTGGCCTTGAAAATGCCCTGCTTATGGAGGAGCTAAGTAGAAACCTGGCTGCCCTGCCTGGATGACCCTGATGAGGTCAAGCACCAATATCCTCCGGCTGAGACCAACAAAACCCAGTCAAAGCCAAGCTCTAGAGACCATGGGAGACTGCCAGAGACAGGCATGGCAGCAGACACATCCACCTGGTATTCACAGAGATGTTCCTGGGAAGCACTTTGTTAGAACCTGCACCATGAGGGAGGACAATCTGTATCCAGTGAGTGGAGCTGACCAGACAAAAACATCTCGTAGTATCCTGAACAGGGATGAGAACATACTATGCACTGCTGAACGGGACACTTAAAAATGGCTAAGGTGCTAAATATAATGATACAAAAAACAAAGGGCTGAGGATTTAGCTCAGTGGTTCTGCCTCCTGCCTCACAAGCACAAGGTCCCGAGTGCGATCCCTGGTACCAAAAAAAAAAAAAAAGCCCTCCCCTGATACTGGAACTAAAGCCTCCACCCTTGTCTTAGCCCCAACAGAAAGCTCTGCTGCAGCTATGACATGGAGTGGAGAGGACCAGTCACTACTAGGCCTTTAATGTGGGCCCCACCACTACAGCCAACAGCTCCACACCAGGTACCTTCTTCCTTTTGCCAGCTGGTGTTTCTAAGTATCCCAAGAAGCAGGAAGATGAAACTTCAGATAAATCACTGAAGGGGGAAAACCTGACAAGGAAAAAGGACCTCACAGTCCACAGAAGAGCATGTAAGAGACCCTGGGAAACAACTAATGCTCAGACAGACGTCCAACCAGGACTCCCAAGCCCTGTTTCCTGCACACAGGAGGTGCCACTTCCCTCCCTCACCCTTACAGCAGGGCATCACAAGAAGACAAACCAGAGCTGGGCGAGGATTTGAACAGAATGGCCAAACACAGGAAAAGAGGCTCAACATCATTAGCTGTTGAGGAAATGCAAATCTAAAACCACTGTTAAGACGCAAAGAACATTTATTTTTCTTTACAGTACTAGGGATCCAACCCAGAACCTAGTGCATGCTAGGGAAGAATTCTTTTGCTAACCTACATCCCCAGCCCTGAAGGCTAGAGTCACAGACGGGTAACAGTGCTGGTTAAGAGGTAGGGTAATAGAAGTCCTCCCACACTGCCACAGTCTGGCAGTTCCTGGAAATGATAAACCCAGAGTACCATCTGATCAGCAATTCTACTCCTGGATGTTCACTCAAGAGAATAAAAACATAGTCCACATAGAAATTTGCACACGTGTATTGACAGCAGCACTATTCACAATAATCAAGAGGTGAACATGGCCTGAATGTCCACACACCAAACAGTAGATACACAAAGTGTGTTATAACCATAAGGTGGAAGATTTCTCAGCAGGTCTGTCCCTCAAGCCTCACTGCTCAACTGGACCCTGGTGGACACTCATCAACCAGGAGCCAAAATCAGTGGGAGACAGCCCCTGCCAGGCCTCTGTGAAAGCCAGAGAGCATTCACTTGGGAGAATACAAGAGCAGCCAGGGCCCACAGCAACCTCTCTGTGCAACAGCTCATTGCACAGCCTTCAAGACAAAGCAGAGCAAGAATCCACTGTACCCACTGTCTCCAGGATGGCAGCCAGGACAGCAACCCTCTCCTACCCTTTATCTAAAGAGCTACCAACTCAAGAACACAGAGCTGTAAAGATCCTCAGGTTTCTACCTGAAATAGTTTCTTCTCATTAGTAATCAGTAACCTCCAACTCAAATGCCATTCAGCAAGTGAAAGCAGGACTACTTTATGAAATAAATGCCCTCTAACCAAGTCCCTCATCTGGCCACAGGCAAGGCCCAACCACGACTTCATGACTTAGAACTAGAGGACTGGGTCCTGAAGCAAGCAAAGGGAGGAGCCACACCTAAGGCAGACCAAATAGGACTTAACCTGAACTGAATGAGGACAAAGGAAAGCACGTTAGAAAACTTGGTGCTCTCTTATATTTCAACAAAATGTAGGCATAAAGTAATGCTATACTAACTCTAAGAGGAAAACTAAGTGAGCTCATGACTGACTGGGGTGCTCCTTTCCCCACCATGCCACATGCAGGACTTACCACTCCTGCATTTCCCACACACATGTACTGAGGACTGACATCACCCAGGGAGAAGAGCATCACTCATGAAATCAGGATATGAAGACAGTGTTGGTTACTGCATGACCCTGGACCATGATGGCATGGACCCTGCCATGGTGACATGTGTGCCTATGTCCTACCAGCTCAGCTCCTGAAGGACAGAATCCACACTCCTTCCGAGTTCTCTAGACTATCCCACAGGCCAGGCATAAGCTGTTTTGACAGGGCAGCCTTTAGGCCCAAGTTCCCTTGCACTCTGCCCACCTACCCCTCATAGATGAGAAACATGCTTAAAGGCCTCCTTCGAACATGACCATACTTCTCCATAGCTGGTGCCTACTCCTGCTGTCCTCTCAGAACTAAGTCCAATCTTCAACAGCACACATCTCAGTACATGCACACACATGCCACTGCCTTCCCCCAGCCTGCTGTCCACAGCAAGCCAGGAAGCCACCAGATAATACCCTGGCCATTTGGCCACACCCATGCCAGACACCTCTTTATGAGACTGCAAAACCACCCAGGAAGGGGAAAGGAGGCGATCAACACCAGTCCCAGCCTGCTACAGAGCATCCAAAGATTCAGGTGGACCACAGCTTCCCTTGGCTTTGGCTCACACCATGAAGCCAAGCAGCTCCAAGTGTTCTGGGCCCCACACTCAAGTCATACCATTGCAAGCACAGCTCCCTGCCCCATCTGTGAAATGGGTCAGAAATCAAGCAGTGCTGTCAGAGATTCTGCACAGCCCATCCTGGGTCCTGGCCATCACTAAGGCAGGCATTCCTGAGCCCCAAGTTGGCCCCTGCCAGCAGATTTTCTCAAGGCTACCCAAGGTACAAGTGCAAAAGCAAGCACCGAGTGCCTATGCAGTGGGAAATCCTTTAGGACAGCAAGTTTCTCCAGGAAAACTCTTAGGTCACAATCTCGTTCAGATCATTAATCTGACTTTTATCCCACACTGAATGTGGATGCACTAAGTCTTTACACCAGACAGCCCTAATGAAGTGCTCTGGACAAAGACAGCCATGTTTGTTTACTGTTTATAAGAGGCCACTCACAGATGTGGAATACTCAGACTGCAAATCTAAATGAATGACTAAAAATACTTAACAGAAGGAGAACACATTGAAGTACTATGAGGCTCTCTAGAGGAAAGGCTTAAATACTTGACACACTCATGCCACTCTCGGTCAAGGTTACGGTGATTCTGAGGTGACTTCCCTGAGCATCAGCACACTGTTAGTCTGCCAAGTGACCAGAAGCACTCCACAGCCCCTCCCAGTCCTCTGTGTGCTGTGTTCTCACTGTCCTGACTTTGTCCCTCTCTGACCCAGGGCACTCCATCCATGACCTCAGCCCACCTCCTGAGAGACCTCCCAAAAACTGAGGTAAACTGGAGTGTGAGAGCTGCCACCCCACATCTGAAAGCCCCTGGCCCAACACAAAGCTCTTCACATGGTCCTGCTCAGGATCCTTCCACACACACATATGCACACATAGTCCCTCTCACACTGCTCATTCTCTCACACATTCACATTCATACATGCTCACAGGAGACATTCTCAAGACCACCAAAGGCATAGGTGTGAGAGGTGTTCAGGCATCTGTGGACCTTGGGCAAGAAGGGTAACAGTGGCATGTGAATATATGAGCATGTGTACATGTGTGCCCTTGGGTATATGATGAAGACTAGACTCAGTTCTGAGAGGAGGATTCATACTTGCTCACACTCATACAGGAACACACAACACATACCTGCATTCTCATATTCTCACATTCATTGTCATACCTTAGGCCCACTCACTGTTGCACTCACCCACTCACTCTCACATGCTCAGACTCACACACTCATTCCTACATACCTGCTCCTCTCACAGCACCTGCCCTCTCCATGGTGGTGACCCCACTTTTCCACCTGCAGAGACTGAGACTGGTCTATGCCCCTCTCCCAGTGTGCAACCCGTCACCATGTCCTGTTCCTCTACCATCAGAGCACACACATACCACCTATATTTCACCACTCTCCCAGTCTCCGATGAGCAGATCTAAGTCCCTCTATCCCTTC